TTTAATTCAGTAAAGTTATTGTGGTATGAACAAAAATAGCAAAACAGATGCATAGGATTTCAGTGTTGGGAGCGCCATGCTGGTCAGTTTTGGAGAATGTGATGCCTTACTCAAAGGCCACTCCAACACTAACCTCAACTGTAACCTACCATTAACCTTTTCGTATTATACTAGCCCCTATTTATTTCCTCTACATTGCCTGGATCTCCTATGCCAAATACTACCAGCTCTAAACATCTACTGTTACACAAAGAAATGCTGATTAAAATGTTACCCCAAAAATGAAGTTTAAGTATGTGTTGGGTTATTTACATATGTCTTGGTAAATGTATTCTGCAATTTTTTTTGTTTGTTTCATGCTGATAAATACGTGGTGATCCTGCCAGTTCCCCTTGGCTCCTGTAGCAGGATGACATTGCCAAGCACAGAAGCAGATCTGTGCTGGCGTGGTACATTTGCATCCCTGTGACTGTTGCTGGGAAATATAGGACACTGTGCTGATGCACAGCATGTCTGTATCTTCCATAGTCAGTTTTGCAGTCACAAAGTAAAGGCAATAAAGCGCCACAGGCAATCACTCCTCAATGGGAAATCCTCTTGGGCATGCTGCAGGATGCTGCCCCAAAGCAGCCGGGAAAGCTGTGGGATCTAGGGAGTAAGCACAAGGGGGGCGCCTTTCCTGGTGCAGCTAAATTTTATTTCAATAGTCATACAATAAAATCAGAAAGGTACTCACAAACATAGAAGTTACATACATGTTTGTGAGTACCTTTCTGATTTTATTGTATGACTATTGAAATAAAATTTAGCTGCACCAGGAAAGGCGCCCCCCTTGTGCTTACTCCCTAGTTTTGCAGTCACGTCTTCGCCCAGCCCTGCCTATGTTGATTGACAGCGGGGCTCCAAACTGTATTGCCATTTAGATGTGCAGGGCACACACGGGTGCAATCAAAGGAAGCTGCACTTCCGCCTCTTTCTTTTTTTCCCCATCTTTGCTACCTCCCTTCTGTGTATGTTATTGACACACTGCCTGACCCCTTAGGTTTTAGACATGCCGCCCGCTATGGGGCAAAAGGCTGTGTGGTCATGTGAATGACCAATAAGCATTACAAAAAAGTACGTGAGATTAAAGGTAATTCATAGTATTTGCTGTATTAAAATTGGCTGCTAAAGTACTCAACTACTATAATGCTAAAAACATTTGCAGCTCAAGTATGACACTGATTTAGTTTAGTGCAGTCATAACACCTGTATCATGGAAAGCAAACCACTTAAATATCTGAAGATGTGAAATGTGTAACATGTTTACTGATCTTTTTTCCCTTCTGAGTTAACATTTCCACCTGTTTTAAAATGCAGATAGAGTGATAACAGAACAGAGACTGAGACCTGTATAACTCACCTGTGACCAGCATTTCAAATATCTCGATACTGCTTTCCTTGAAGTATTGTTCCTGATTAGGACATCCTCCTTACAGGGCACCTTGTACAGCAGGTGCTGCGTTTCTGGTGAAGAGCTGTTGGCAAAGCCTGGAAATTTGTCAGGATCTACAGAGCCACTGAATGCACAGACAAAGCAATTTCCATCCAACAGCGTAGTCAGTATCCACACCACAGGAGCCACCATAGCTCTTGTAAACACAAAGGTGCACATATACCTGTCAGAAATATAAAAGCATAAAAAATGAGTCTCTCCAAAATCAGTTGGTGAAATAATTTACGTTTTATTACCTGATCTTTTTGAAAAGAAACACATTTATAAAGACCCTTTGCGTCCATGCCATATACAAGCTCCGAATGGGACAGGAAGTGATTTGAAATCTTCCCAATGTAGAAACAAACGGCAATTAAAAGCATAGTTCTAGTGCTTGCATATTCTACCCAAAGCTTTACAAATAGCTTTTAGGGTTCTTTCACACGCGCGTTCAGAAATTAATGAAAGAACAAACATGATGAGTGTTAACAAGGCATTCAGCAGGCATTTTCAAGGCATTAAGGAGGCATCAAAAACACTTGCAAAATGCCCTGCAGGTAGGGGAGTGGCTAAGCTGCCACTGGTATGGCTGGCACTGCTTTGGATGACACCGATAACAGCTGGCACTACAGGGTGGCATAGTTCAAGCTGTCACAGGTTGCAAGTACCTGGCTAGAAGCTGTCCTCTTGCTGGCAAAACAAGGGCTGTGTGCAGACAGAAAGTGGCATCTGCACCTGCTCTGTTCACTCACTCTATGATTCCTCTGTGGTTTTATCAGGTCCAGTGCTCAGTGGACCAGCTGATTCAGCAGGAAACTAAAAACTCTTAAAAATCAAGGAGTGTCATCCATTGTAAGTGATTTAGCTGGCATTTAAAATAGCTTACCTTTGACTTTAATATCACTTTAAAGTGTATGTATACCCTAACAATGTACTTTTCTTATTAGCTTACATTTGGACATTGCAACATATGCTATATCTGTGCAAAGTGCAGAAAATACCTATTAGTCCTGACAGAAATCCAATGTTGTCCTGTAAACTCCACAGTGTTATCCAACCTACACAGGCTTGATATGTTAGGATTACAGAACACTAACCTATGTTACAGTTGAGGAGAGGGGAGGTGTTCTGTAGTCATAACATACTATATACATATACCAAACAGAAAGGTAAGGCACATGACCACTGAGTTTGTGTGCTGGAAACAAACAATGTAGAGGTATCTGGCTGCACTCCTTACTGGATTTCCCGTATAAGTTAAAGGTGGATGCTTGCAATGAGTGCGGATGGTGCCGCTGACAAACCAATTATAGAAATATGTCACCAGCACACCAAATCAATTTTCAAAGCAGAAAAATTTCCATTTATTGACACATGCTGTCTCAAGTACAAGCGATTTCGGGGCCACACAGGGTCTCCATCAGGCTCAGAGAAGTAAGTCATATCATACTATATACATATACTAAACAGAAAAGTAAGGCACATGACCACTGAGTTCCTGTGTTTGGAGACAGACGGGCACCATACCGCCGATTTATATCATATAATGTTCCAAAAGGTTACCAAAGACCATCTTCTTTTTTTGATTCTTTATTGCATTCTCATCATTCTTATTGCTGCACAACAGTTTTAAGCGCCCCCTTCAGGTGCACTTTCCACAAGAACAGCCCTAGATGTAATTGCCACTGATTTGTAGCAGTTTTATATTCACTATGCTTTTTACCAAAAACATAGTTGTACTGTCATTAAAAAAGGACACATTATAGGCTGAATTTACACTTTTATCTACAGTAAAACTTGTTTAAAAACTATAACTAGTCAGACCTAGAAATAAAGCAAATGTTGCCATTCTGTGGAACTTTTTGCCTGTAAATCACATGGAACATAAAATATTTTTCAAAACACTATTGGCAAATGAAAGCCTTGTTTCCAATAAAAGATACAGTTTATGTAATACTTCATTATCATAAGTACTGACAAAGTATTGCAAAATCAGTAGGTCCACATGTAGTCTGAAATGCAAATATTATGGAGAAGTGGGTAAAGATCATGCATTCAAGTATCCCAACCACATTCCAATGAATGGACCGCCCTAATGCAGTGTACCTCAACACACAAACCAATGCGCTTATGTTTAACACCCCACAACGGATTAGACTGGTGAACCAGGCCCTATGGTGAATGTACACAGACAAATGTGATCAAAAATGATTGATAATATTTAGTTCTCCCAGTTATTTACAGAATATCATAACAGCCGTGATTTTTCTTGTGTCTCACACTTTTATGTCTTAGCAGTACAGAGAATGGTTGTTGCTGTTATTGTTGTTCTAGGTTATAGAATCTATACATCTTTCTTGATTGCCTGACTGTTTTTCTCACTTATGTGATATAGATACACACGTCTGTGCTCCAACCTATCAACAGAAAAAAGATTGTGCAGCATTCTTATCATACATACATGTCCAACCACTATATAATATCTATGGCGTACTCATTTGTCCATTAACTATGTGATAAATCTCCACTTATCATGTGTGGCACTTACTTTACAATCGCCAAGTCTTTTTTCCGGTGTCCGGTAGGTCTGCGCCATTCCTCAATCATTATTACCGATTGCCTGTTCAAAATGAGGCCACAAAGGAAGAGAGCAATTGGAGGCACAAACATTATCCCCATGCCATACATCATGTTATATCTGGGAAGACATGGGCAGTTGAAGTCTAGGGAATTGTAGATTTTCACACTAGCCAGCGCTAGAAGCCCACAAATTCCATTCATCACCGATTCTGAGTTGGACTGGAAGTACTGAAAAATCATTTTAAAGCGATCCATGGTGCTCAGAGTTAAAGTCTCAAATTTTCCTGTGAAAATACAGTTGTCTCAAGGGTCAATCCCAAAAATTAAGTGAAGTTCTATTTTCTGTCCACTTAAAACTAGATCTTATTTGCCACTGTTCCTGTATTTTCCACAAGATGAGTTTCTGTCTGCATGTGATGAACTACTGTGGTTGCTTCTGCAGGTAAATGAGTTAGTCAAATATAATTTGTTTGTTTAATGAATATATCACAGGCAGGACTTTTAAAGGAGGTTTGAACAGCAACTGGGCACATCATTATACAAAACCAGTTAAAAATACAGACATTTGTATTAAAACTAATTGGGTTACAAATAATTTAAAAAAAAATCCCACTATGGGCTTTAAACGAGGTTGCATAGGTCAAAAGAATAAAATAAAATAGGTTACACTCTCCCTCACATCTTTTTACACAAGTACACACAGAGTGATGTTGAGATGAAAATATAATAGGTTAAAGGTTGCAATTTGTTGCAAGTACAAGTGTTTAGGCATTCTCAGGTTTATTTATTTTGTTTGTATTGGTATGACACAAAAAAGTGGAGAAAAAAAGCCAAATCTGACACATTCCACGCAAAACTCCAAAAATGGACTGGACAAAATTATTCTCTGTGTGCCACATGGACAAGAAATGATTGCATTCCAAGTTCGTGATGCTCCTGTAATTTGTAATGTAAACTCACCTGTATCAATTACCGGAGCTGACAATATAGAAATCACACCGGCAACCGTTAAAATGGTGAAAAATTGACTCAACCTTTCTGTTGTGTGTCTCTGTGTGCCACATGGAGCATGGAGAAGAGAAAGAGCAGCAAAGAATTGTCTAAGGATTTGAGAAGATAAGTTGTGGAAAAGCATGGACAATCTCAAGGTTACAAGTCCATCCCCAGAGATCTTAATGTTCCTGTGTCCACTGAGCGCAACGTTGTTAAGACGAGGACGAAAGAGAACAAATGATCAAAGATTGCAACAAATGATTATAAAGACCCTCGATCAACTTCCAGACAAATTCAAGCTGACCTTCAGGCACAGGGTACAACTGTGTCAGCTTGCACTATATGTCGCCATCTGAATGAAAAGGGACGCTATGGTAGGAGACCCAGGAGGGCTGACGCAAACATAAAAAAGCCAGATTGGAGTTTGCCAAAACTTACCTGAGAACGTGCTGTGGACAGACTAAACAAAAATTACAGCTTTTTGGTAAAGCCCATCATTCTGCTGTTTTCAGAAAAAGAAATGAGGCCTTTAAAGAAAAAATACAGTCCCTACAGTCAAACATGGTGGAGGTTCACTGATGTTTCGGGGTTGCTTTGCTGCTTCAGGCAGTGGATGCCCTGACTGTGGTGCATGGCATTAGGAAATCTGAAGACTACTAAAGAATTCTCAGTGATCGCTGAGTGCTTGTACCCGCTCTCCATCCTGAATCGCTGTCACAGGAGGCTGAGCGAGCAGTGCGGGGAGGAGGGCTCGATCTCCTCTGACAGCTGACTCCTCCCCTGCACTGCTGGCCCGGCTTCCTGTGACAGCTGTCTCCACCGCCGCTCTCCTGATCTGTCACAGGAGGCTGAGCGGGGCAGTGCTGGGGGAGAGCTCGGCCTCCTGTGACAGCTGTCTCTGCCCCCAGACTGCTCTCCTAATCTGTCATAGGAGGCTGAGCGGTGCGGGAGAGAGAACCGGCCGCTCACATTGCTCTCCTCTCCTGCACTGCTCGGCCTCCTATGACAGTTTCTCTCCTCCCTGCAGGACGTTGCGTTGCGTCAGAGGGGACTCAGAGCAGCGCCCAGCGGGTAGGAGAGAAACCAGGGATGCACCGCTATTTCGACCGAAAGATGGCACTTGCGGCATTTTGCCAAAAGTGCAATTTTTCGACCAATATGTTTCAGCGGCCGTAATATCGGTGCATCCAATAGGGATGTCCCGATACCGGTACAAGCATCGGTATCGAGACCGATACAGGGCATTTTGACAAGTAATTGTACTAGTCAAAATGCCTCGATTACATATCGGGCAGTCACCGGCCAGCTAAATTAGGACCCCACCTGGAGCTCCTCCCACCGGACCAGCGCTGACTCGCCGCTGCTCGCCCGCACAGCGCTGACGACGTTGCAGGAACAGGTTTACAGGCAAGGAATTTGACAGTAAGGATTTTTATTTCCTGTTGTACAGCATAGGGGTAGCACAAGCAAAACCATGTTGGTCAAGTAGATGACACGGAACAAAAATAAATATTATGTTTATTTTGGTCCAGCATTACCCAAAGCCACAGTATATGCATTGTAATAGTGGCGGCCAAGTCATGACGTGGTCTTTATTTAATTAAGGAGAAGTGACATAAAAGTATGGCTTACCTAGGATTCATTCATGTTGATACAAATTAACAACTCAATGCTTGCAGTTTTTAATTTTGAATGCTTTGAGGTCATGGTTAGCAGTGCTAAAAACGATTTTGGATAAAACACTTGGAAGGTAGGTATGAAAACACTTTTATGGCCAAAGTCAGTTTCTTCAGCAATTTATTAATGGTGTCAATCCACACACACCCCAATCTACATGCACCATCTTTTGTTTGCACTTTTATTTCTTCTATGCTCTGTTTTAAAGTTTTTGCTTGGTGTCTGTGCGTCAGTGGTTTGAAAAATTCTTCCATCTTGCCCACTAATTTGTATTTGGTGCTGTTTGCAGTGACTACACATGTAGTAGGAATTTAGGTGCTGCTTGACTGAGGCAGTTTGCAGCAAAACGTTGCCTCATCCTTTAATCTCCTAGCTATAAAATCCATGGAGGCTACTGCAAGTAAAAATCTAATCCATAGCTTGATAATGCTTTAGAACCAAATGTCTTTCAGAGGTCATTGCAAATCCCAATATTAGAGCAATTGTGCGGCTAACAGCAAGAAGTCCAGGGAGTGTTGTATGTTACTCAAATATCCTTTCTATAATAATAAAGGAGTATCAGTATCCTCTGTTGGAGCTAAGAGTACTAGATAGGTTTTCTTAAGAGTAATGCTTCATCTGACTTTAATGCAAGTGGCTGTAGCACCAGATCAACACCTAGCTATGTGAGGATTTAATTGATCAGATGGGAAGGTGTAAATGTTTGTCTTTTATGAAGGCATGCAGTTGTATCTGATAGAGGCTGACAAGTATGGCAGGTAGGCCTCCATGTTTTTAGATTGTGTTTTTAGTCCCTTTATCCCTCTGTCATCATTGCTACAGAGAGAGTCTGATTATTTTACTGGGCATGAGCTGCAGAGAAATACAATCAATGAATGTAGTTAGGAATTTCAAGTGGAAATGTTTTGTTAATCAATGTGTTTCTCCCACTCTCAACAGTTTGATTACATTGCACATGTTGCATAAAAGTTGATGTATCGAGCTGCGTGTCTGGTTGACCTTACCTGCACACAATGAGAAGTGGCTGATTTTTTTCTCCTCACATCTCCCTTTATATCGTTTTCAGAACCTGAACTTGCCTCAAGAGTCAAGAGCCAAGAGCAGTGGCATTACTTATGTTAGAAGTCACCAACCTCTATACATTATTGTTTTTACTGAACAGGTTGCCACCTGTTATGAACCACTATATCATCATTACTTGACCCTGAGTAGGCTGTATCATAACTAGTAATCCCAAGGCTAAATCAAAGTATCAAACCTACTGAAGAAAGTTTTATTATATATACCCACCATCCCTTTCTCCTTCCTAGATTTGTCATGGCTGCCAGACTGCCACTACTTCCCACACTACCAGGGATAACTGTTTGAATTTCAGCCCTTTCCTACTTTTCCTTCTCCTCTTCTCCCTCATCCAAATCTAATTTATCATACTACTTGCATTTAGAAATTGCATAGCTCCACTTATCCTAATATAGCTTGCATATATTCAGAGGAAAAACCTAAGCCATCACCACTTTGTTAATAATGTATACAGCACAACAAGGAATTGGAAAAAAAAGGAATTTGTATTCAGAGGCGTGTTTTGAGATGAGGAGGAGGGGCACTGAGTGGCACTGTTTGAATACAGCATATGTCTTGTCTGTTCCGATGATACAATACTTTGGGGTGTATTTTTAAACAGGTTGCAGAACAAAATGCATTTGGCAAAAGTCTGAGATTTACATTTGCACCGCATTATGGCCACTAGATGAAGCCAAAGATCATAGGAAATAAGCATTTCCTATGTTCCTCAGCTCCATCTAGTGGTCATAACGTGGTGCGAATATAAATGTCAGACCTTCTTAAAATGAATGCTCTGGAAACTGTATATAAATATACCCCTTTGTGATTGGCTGTGGGGAAGGGTCAGGCAAGGAGAGGAAAGCCTTAACAGCTATGCATGTTTGCATAAGAGAGTCTGCTAAATGTCTACTATAGAACCACAGAGTAAGAGAAGCCCTGTTACAAAGGATTTTGTTAATCTTGCCAGCAGTGGGTTTTTTTCCTCAAGGTAGTATTGCTGTCCACAGTAGTACTGTTCACAGCCTCTCCTACTTGCAGTCACAAGGCACCACTTCCTTCTCTCTACCTGCCATTGCTCCTCTCATAGACCAGCTGAGTCCTCTGCAGCCTGCAAGGTCTTATGAGCACACCTTTCAGGTAAAATAAGACAATTGCAAATTTTGTGATGGACATCCGAGCCAGAAATTTCGCACTTGTCGGCATCATTTAGCTAGCAATGTTGTCATGACATGCTCCCACGAGACCAGGCTGCAGAAGACTACTCTAAAATTCAGAAATAGGTGGTACATGTGACGACATGGTGATGAGTTTATAAGTTAAATGTGTATTGGTGTTGGGTTATGTTTGAGTGCGTTATGGAAAGAGTATCAGCACCATCCCTCGTTATCTCCCATTGTTCTCTGAGGGAGCTCAGGACAATGACATTCTGGGCAGGCTTCTGCTATGGCTGTCTGGAGCTATTTAGCAGGTGGACACCTGTGGTGTTGTGAAGACAGGATTTCTGGGGAGGGGAAGGGGGATGT